GGTCTGGGCCTCCCTTCTGAAGCTGCTGCCCCCGCGACCCGACCCCGGATAGGCGGAAGAAAATGGATGGATAACTATAAACTGTTTATAAGCTACATAAAGCAGCTAAAGGAGAGCTAATTTTAGCTGCTGATTTACCTGTTTTTATTTAATTTTTTTTAATGGCAGCTTCCTCATGGTTGGGACGTGGTTGTGGATTAAAGTGTCCTCACCTCGAGTCCCACAGTGGAAAAAACCTCTAATGTAAGGCTTTGGGTGCAGAGACATGTGCCGCTAAATCTGCAAAATGGGGGCGGAGCTTTGTAGTCCTTTATTTTCACCAGTAGGGGGTGGAGCTTGTATTTATAATGAGCTCATTTGTGACTGTCGTTTCCACTTATGAATCCTTTCAAAATAAAACGTCACAAAAAATTATGCGAGAGGTCTTTCCAGAGAACCCCACTTAAAAAAGATACGAACTAGCATCATTTAGCTTTTATAAAATAAATGTTAAACTAAATATTCTTTAATTTTTCCAAATATTTCCATACTGAGCTAAAATCGTTTTATGGCTGTTTATTATACATTATTTTTATTATTTTCTTAATATTACAGTAGAATCAGTTTTTATTTTCTTTAATGGTGGCTTTTTTGTTCCAGTTTGTAAATGAAATGAACCGAAGCTTCGGTGCTTCAATGATCAACATACGGTTAAAAATACAAATAAAAAAATTCACGTTTTTTTTCTCCTCTGTTGTCCACAGAGGTCCGGTTTGTGACCTCCGTCTCCTCTGGTGGTCCGGTTTTTCCCTCCAGATTATTTTCAGTCCAGAMGAGACTTTACAAAACACCGACCCGAACGGGCCAACACGCAGCCCTAACACCAACGCCAACACTTGATTTATTAAAACAGGAGATTTTCTCTCGAAATAAAAAAACCTCATTAAATTGCGTTCTTCCCTGAACTCTTATTTACAAAATTGTAAATCACAAAAACAATCAGTGAAAACAGCAAAACCACATTTGTGACAAACAAAGACTCCGTTTCTTCTTTTCTGTTTGGACTTTTCTTAAAAAATAAAAATAAATTCCTCAATTTTCACAAAACGGACGTGAAAAATGTTTTTAAAAATGTGAAAAATCAGCTGAGAGGCTTTTATTGACCTTCTATCGTTCTTTACAGACTAAAGAAAAAATAAATAAATAAGAAAAAAAACAACATCCTTCCTGGAAAAACTTTTCCCCTCAAATATTTTACTGTACACCTGTGTCGGCCGCTACAATTACCGTTCATTTAAAAAAAAACAGAAAATTAAAAGTGTTAATTTGTTAAACGGTCCAAACGTTAAAATGTGAGTGCTTCTTTTTGTCTCGACGCTCTGCGACMGTCCTGCTCGACCTGAGAGGAAGTCGTCACACCGGTGCACTTCCTGTTTCTGCTCGGCGGTTAGCGCGTTGCGTCGTGTCCTTAATGATCCGTGACGCTCAGAAAGGCAAAGATAAAGTTCGTAAACTTTTAATTGTTTTTTAACCGCAGCTGTGCTTGGAGTGTCCTCGTCGTGTCCTCGCTGAGGAAATGTTTAAAACGTGTGACGAACATCAGGTGTCACACCTGCACCCTGAGGTAAACAGGTAAACCGTTGCTCCGCCTCCAATCCAACTCGCTGTAGGATAAAAACGACAAACGGCTTCCAGCAGAAGTCCCGTCTCTCAGGGGGATTTAAAAAAAATTTGCTCCTTCGGGCGGAGGACGGTTGCAGAGTTGAAGCAACTTGTGGTCCAATCAGGAACGGTGCGTTCCCGCCAGGATTTCATGGCCGCTATAAGGACAAGATGGCCGCCAGCAGCATGAGGGCGGAGCTGAGCAGCAGGACCGGGACCTGGCACCGAGCGGCAGAGTTCACGTCTCTCCTGGACGGTTCTGGTGACTCGTGACCAATTCCGTCTGTGGCGCAAAAACAAAACGAACAGAAGGAAAAAATTATTTTAACAAATATATATAATAAATACGTAAAACATGACTTCAATAAATTAAATCAATTTCCTGTTTTAAATGTTTTGTTGCWTTATGTGTAGTTTTTCGTCTTAAAATTTCCTAAAATATATATATTTAGAACTTCTAGAAGCTCATTTTGTCTAAAAAAAACGGCCATATTTTACAATCACATTAGTTATCTCTGCCTACAAAATAAAATGGGCGGGGCTAAGAAAAATAAATGTAAATAAATATTTAATTACACATTTCATAAACAAATATCCCACGCATGCATTTATTATTAAATTATTTTCAGTAACTGTTGGTGATTATTTAAATTGTGTCTCATTTTTCCTTCCATACATGGTGTTTATTTAGTTTTTACTTAACAAATACATAAAACTGAACACCTGGGTTAGTTATAAACAAACAAAAATAATTTAATATAATTACTGAAATGTTATTTGCTTGTATAATAAAAATGTGTTTGTTTTATTGGATTGGATAATGGATTAGTTAATTGTGAATAAATAGGATTAGGCAAAAATTGACCAAAGCAGGACTAAACTTATTAAATGTTGTGGAATTTAGAAATAAAACAATTGTGCCACCGCAGCACTAAGTCATGAAAAAATAGCTTTTATCAAGATTTTACAGGATTATTTACATAAAAGTAATATTTTAATCATTTAGAAAAGATGATTTTTCATAATTTCTTCATAACTTTTCCTCTAAAAAAGGGGTTTTAAAGTGTAAACCGTCACCGACCTCTGGGCTCGATGGAGTTGTTACTGTGTTCGTCAAAGTCGACGCCTTCCTGTGCGCTCCCAGAGTTTTTCACACAATTGTCTTTGGAAAACAAAGAGCAGATTTACAGATTAGATGGGGTCAAAGGTCGTGTGCGACCTCACAACTGGATAAAGTCTGGGTTTGGTTCTGCTCACTCTGTGGTCTGACGAAGACTTTGAGTCGGAGGCAGCTCCTTCGTCCTCTGACGTCGGTGACGGACGCTGTGGAGAAACACGACACGGTTAAATCAGAAACATTAGGTTTGATTTTCACAATAAAACGCCTCCTGGAAGCCAATCTACAGATGTGTGATCATTGAAATGTCAGGAAAATGTCAGTTTAAATGTCACTATGATTACTGTACGTGTTCTTAATTTGACCAAAAAAAAAAAACCAACATGAAAATTAAAACGTATTATCTCAACTTTTCAGGATCATTTTTTATCAAATGTAATTATAATGACACATTTTAACATTTATACTGAATTCTAACATCTTCATTCATTCAACTCAACATACTAAAGTAGTTAGAATAAATTTTCCACTTCCAGACTCAAATTTAAACAATTCTCGTTCCATGCTTGAGGTTTAAAAACAAACATTTACTGTAAATATTAACGAAATGGGTCTGAAACTGGAAATTTATGATAAATTCTACAGATGTACTTTTCTTATTTTACCAGTAATTTGCAAAAAGATTGTTGCTTTTGTAGAATAACTCAACCAAAAAACAATGAATTTTAATAATTACTTAAAACCAAAGTAAGTATCAGTAAGTCCAACATAATTACCAGTAAATCCAACATATTTATCGGTAAATCCAACATAATTATCAGTAAACCCAACATAATTACCAGTAAATCCAACATAATTACCAGTAAATCCAACATAATTACCAGTAAATCCAACATAATTACCAGTAAATCCAACATAATTACCAGTTAATCCAACATTTATTGGTAAATTCACATAATTTTATGTAAATTCAACATACTTATTGGTAAATCCAACATAATTACCAGTAAATCCAACATAATTACTGGTAAATCCAACATATTCATTGGTAAATCCAACATAATTATCAGTAAATCAAACATAATTACCAGTTAATCCAACATTTATTGGTAAATCCAACATAATTTTGTGTAAATTCAACATACTTATTGGTAAAACCAACATAATTATCAGTAAATCCAACATAACTACCAGTAAATCCAACATATTTATCAGTAAATCTAACATAATTATCAGTAAATCCAACATATTTATCAGTAAATCCAACATGTTTCTTGGTAAATCCAATGCATGGATAGTTAAAACCAATGTAACCATGGTTAAAGGAATATATTGCTGGTTCAAACCATCGCAGTRATGATTAACTAACATATTGATGGTTAAATGGAAAATAATACTTCCATATTTGTTTTACGTACTGCTACATAACATATCTTGCATTCTGAATAAACTCAGCTCTACAAACTCTCTCCACCTGAGATCTCCTCTTCAGTTAAATCTACCTTTAGACAGAAAGCATCGGGACAAACGGACAATCCGACAAGKTCGATGGTTTCTTCATCAGAGGTGTTCCTCTCCTCTGCCTCTGAACTCAAACTGAAGAGCTCCATCCTGCCTGATGGAAAAGTGTTCCTGCTCCATATTTTATGTCAAAGTCACCCTCATATTTCCAAGTCTAATTTGGCCGACGGGCGGCGTTACTAAGTCTCATTTCCTGTTTCCTGATTGTGAAAGACGGAGATTAAAACCTTTTCTCTGAATTAATTTTCATGTAGAGCTGAGGGGATGTAGATGTGACTCGCACATTTTTTTTTCTGTTTTACACATTTCTGTGAACTCGTCTCTGTTCTCGCTACACGTGTTGCGGCACCGTGACCTCCGGTGTTTCCTGCCAAGTCTCTCAAACTGCCGCTGATATGGATATCTGAGCGTGTACGTCCACGTCTGTGCACCTGTGGACAGACGAGTCCTCGTGTGATGAAATCTGTCCTGATAAAGTCGAGCGTGTCGGTGTTTTCGYCGGCTCTTCTTTCAAAAAGACCAATTCATCAGATGCCGCGGCGCCGTGGAGAGGAGATAAAAATCATCTCTGAGCGCTGGAGAGGAAGATTGGAGGCGCAATAAACCGGAGAGGAGCGCCGTCAATCATCCTGTCGGTGCCAGCGAGTTCCAGTAACTCAGAACTGTTTCTTTATTCTTTTCCTCTCGTCCACATTTCCTGGATCGACCCGACCTTTCCTCTATAAAAAACCCCTAAAGTGTCGAACGGAAAAACTTTGGGCCTAAATTTAGAATTTTCTCCATCTCTATCTATGGTTACTGGACCAAATGTTCAATCCATGAATGTTTTTAGTTATTTTTTTTATAACATAAGTAAGTCTTCAGACCTGAAGGTTTAAAGTGCCTGTGACGTGCATATTCTTCAAATACAAAAAGCCAAAGAAAACATCTGTATATTTTTAACAAAGCTAGAATAATACACACGATTTAACCCATTTTGTCCCATAACTGCATATTTTCTTCTGTGAAACAGGAAGTGACATCAAAGGGGAACTCTTTAAAAAAGAAAACTGGTTTTTGTTTAYTGAAACAATCTCATCTGAACTCTGACTCTTCTTCATCTCTGAAAGACTCAAAATAATCTTAAACATCAGATTGTTCCCTACAGTCTGATTTGTAGCAGCGCGCTGTTYACATGCAGGCATTCCCCTTTGACATCACTTCCTGTTACTTCACAGGCAAATATCTCAACAACTGTTCATCTCAGCGACATGRAATTTATTTTGCAATATTTTATTAACGTCCTCTTTCTAAAAACGCATTCATGTTTATTACAAAAAAATTGACGTCACAGGCACTTTAAAGGTTTATGTTGATGGATTTTCCACAAAGCAGCAGGTGAAAACTGCAGGGAACCGTGGAAACGATGAACGCGCTTCACACCGAAACGTTAATTAATTCGGTGTAAAACGGTCACTGTGTGCGACGTATGTGGTGGATTCAAAACGTGACATTCTGACGTCTGGTTGGTTCYGATCCACGATGAAACAAACCCTCACAGCTCATAATGAGGTTTAAAATGGTTATAATTATCCCACCGTCTCTCACGTCTGCCACCGAGGTCAGGGTCTGAGGTTTCCTGTCCTCGAGGCGACGCGACCCCCAACTCCAGCTCTGCCTGAAACTGGACGCTCTAACCGTCAGTCTGGTTCTGACCCGGATCCACGTGGACCAGATCAGTTTACTGCTCACTAACGTCACGTGTTCAATCATGTGACGGCATCTGATGTGTTTTGGTGCTGCTGAGCTGAACCAAAACAGATCCTGAGATAAAATAAAGTTCATCATTGTGGAMGGAACGCACATCGCCCGCTGACTTTCATGTCAGGCTATTAGAATAAAATTAACTAAAAATATCATGAATCATGACCTCTGGTACCACCACACCAAATATTAAATAATAAAGTATTTTTAATCGCAAAATGTTCTTTTTTATATTATTTTTATTTTTCTGTTTTTTTCCTCTTACTTCTATTTTACTGTTTGATGGGACTACAGATGTAAATTAGCCTTAGGCTAAATCTGGTGCAATGCATCAAATTATGTTTTAATTGCACACTGTCCCCAACAAATAAAATCATTCATTCATTCATTAGCTCAGGATGTGTAAATTAGCAGAATTAGCATTAACAGAACTTACATTAGCAGCAGTAAAACGAGCATTACCAGTGGTACAGTAAGCATTAGCCATAGTAGATTTAGCATTAGCAATAGTAGCACTGACAATTTTAGAATAAGCATTAGCCGTAGTAGATTTAGCATTAGCAATAGTAGCATTGACAATTTTAGAATAAGCATTAG